GGCCCCTTTTAAACTTGTAAGTGAGGCCCCTTTTGCACTGGAAAGCGTGGCCCCTTTTAAACTTGTAAGTGAGGCCCCTTTTGTACTTGAGAGCACGGCCCCTTTTGTACTGGAAAGTGTGGCCCCTTTAAAACTTGTAAGTGTGGTCCCTTTTAAACCTGTTTGCTCTTGTGAAAACTGTGACTGTGCCATGCCACCATCCTGGCCATATCCTTTGAATTTTGTTTGCAGGAAAAGACCTTCTTCAGCTGAATCGATGCTTCTTCCTTTAAGGCCGTAACCAAGACCTTTAAATCCTGATGCACTACTGAATTGGCCTTTTATCCCACCTGGTAATTTATAAGAAGAATGTTTAAGTTACATTATCTGAACAGCTTCTTCAAAGTCTTATTTCAAAAATTTCCTCATAAAACTGTTGATGTCCCCACAAAGGTTTTGGGTTTGGCTAGAGAAGAACTAATTCTCATAAAAAAAAAAAAATCATTCTATAGAAGGATCAACTCATTCCCATATTACCCTTAAGGACATTCTTCCTCAGTGACCTTCCCTCTAGGCACCATCTCCAAACTCACCGTAGAGTCCAACCACAGCTGCCTGTCTTTCCAGAATGAGGAGCAGAGAAAGGATGAAGATAGGGGACTTCATCTTGTCAAGAAGAACCTTCACTGAGATCTGAGCTGAGTTGCTCATTTATATCTCCTTTACCTGGATGTGGCTGAAGCTACAAAAGGCACTGCCCTTTTAAAAAGCTTATCTCTAAATGTCAACTTCCTCCCCTCTGCACAGTTGGGGACATTGGTAATGTCCCAAATACTTTGTACAGGGACGCAATGTCAGAGACCTTTTCCTATGTCATAAGCCTCAGCAAATCTTTATCAACCCACCATGTTTGTGGCACACTTTCTGCATTTTCAAGCAAAATCCAGAGTAGAGTAGAGTAGGGAAGAGACTTTTTCCATGCTCTGAAAGTAACCCAGGCCTGACCAAGTTTTCTCAGTCACAGTGTCGTGGTGCTCTTTCCATCACGACATTGTTTGACATAGCTTCTCATTTACATGCAAAGGAGCACTCACGTGTATAGAAGGACATAGGGGAGAATTACACATAAGGAAGCCCCAATTACAAAGTTTGAAGAAGAAATGGAGATGAAAATGCAGCTGTGTGGTAAACCACTTGCTTAGAAAGTGTGAGGCTCTTGAATCAAACCTCAGCTCTGGGAAAAAATAACTGGAATACGGGTCCAAAAGTAGCTGTGAGGTGTAGAACAATCAACATCGATGGTGCCCGTGTCTCTATTTATTAGGAGAGACATGAACGTGTGCTTCTGAGATCAGTCTGCTCTAAAAACATTGGCATGAGAAGATGGCGGTAGCTGTGGTTTGCTGGCAGCCTTTCAAATGGTCTATGCGCGCAGTGAAATGAGCTTGGGGATGTATCTGGAAGGCAAAGTGAGGAGCAGAGGAATTTAAACTTGCTCCTGGGAACGTTGATGATGTTCCCAGGTACTTTGCATAGGAGGTGCAGAGGCGTTCTAATGCTCCGTTTTAAAGGAGGGGGCTGCTGCATTACAACAATTGAATGAGACTATGAATCACTGTTGAAAAAATAAACCAAACAAAAAAGCGTTGGCTTCCTTACTGAGTGTATGTCATGGACTCCTCAGAAAATAAGGATAGTTAAAGTATCATGGAGAAATTCAGACGGGAGTGTTATACAACTGCAATGGGCTGTGATGAATACTTCCTGCCACTGGCAATGTCGTTACTATCCTGAGACAAGATGGGAGACTTGCCTTCTTGTTTAGAAACACAGCTTTGCGCAACCATGAATACAACGTAAATGGCTCATTATGATATTTGTGATGGAGCTACAGACTCAAAGGGACAATGCTGAGGCCACGTTCTTGGTAGAAGAAAACACCTCTGCAGTGTCCCAATTTGCATTCAGAACCATCTGGAGATAGTTTTGGAAGGAAGTCTACTTTAAGACATATTTCCTGCCGTCCCACCCCAACAATCTGGGTAGTGCTGAATGGAAGGGACAAATTAAAAACCCAATCATGTCTTTGCAAAAGGAAAATGCACACAATAAACATAATATAAAACACATGAGTTACATTCTTTTCCACAGAGCCACTCTGACCTCTTACTGAGCTGGTCTCTGTCCCAGGGGAAGCGATCATTTTCCCCAGAAGACCAGTGAGTCACACTGAAATGATTCTAACATAAGATTACTTACTGTTCCTGCTTGACCGTATACTCCTATCTCATGTCTCTTTTTGTTGTTTTAGAAAAATCCAGGAAATCCTTCAATTGGAGGAATAAAAGAAAGGCTCTGACAGCTTTGATCATATTTCTGAATTAAGAAATAAATTTTTCTTTTTTAAAATGCATATAAAACTCAAGGATAAGGTATACAAACAATTCAGGTAGTTGAAGATCACAAATATAGTGCATTTATGCTGTACATACCAGAAGAGAATGCATTGAAAAGAAAATTTAAATTTAACTATTCAATATACTGGCAAAAAATGAAAAGAGAAATGAGTTACTGAAAGAACAGAAAAGCAAATAATTTATAAATCATGCATACTTATTTCTGGTGAATGCCAGTAAAACTTTTGCTGAATAGTTTTTATTTTTAATTTAATTTTATTTATATATTTATTTATTACAATTTATTCACTTTGTATCCCCTCTGCAGCCCCTTCCCTTGTCTCCTCCCAGTTCCACCTACCCTCCCTCATCTCCCCCTATGCCTTTTCTCTAGTCCCCTGATACACAAAGACCTTCTCCCCTTCTATTTGACCCTAGCTTTATCAGGTTTCATCAAGGCTGGCTGCATCATCTTCCTTTGTGGCCTGACAAAGCTGCACCCCCTCCCCCCCTGAGGGGGAGGTGATCAAGGAGCCTGCCACTGAGTTCATGTCAGAGACAGCCCCTGTACCTCTTACTACTTGGAAACTGAGCAGCCAGTGGGCTTCCTTTGAACAGGGGCCTAGGTCCTCTTCATGCATGGTCCTTAGTTGGAATATTGGTCTCTGCAGACCTTCTGGGTCCAGGTATTTTGTTTCTGTTGTTCTTCTTGTGGAGTTCCTGTCCCCTCCAGGAACTTTTTCCATAAGGATTCCGGCACTCTGCCCAAAGTTTGGCTCTGAGTCTCAGTATCTCCTTTGTACCCAGGTGGGTTGGAATCAAACATCCTTTTACAAACATTTTATGAGCAAAGGTGGTGAAATCTGACTCAGACATCATAGGATAATATGCTTAGGGAACAGAAAAGGAAATTTAAAAGAGGTTTTTGCTTAATTCTATGCAAGAAAATTACATGGCAACTTAAAAATATAATAAGATAAATCATCCTAAGAATAGGCAGAAAACCAAGTGTGTGAATATTATGGGATTACAGAAAGCTTTCCAAAATGATCTACCCTAGGCTCACCATCTGTGTGGAGTGGGTGAAGTCCCAAGTGAATGTGTATTGGTGACAAGAGCATGGCTATGGTAAGGATGCCAACGCCTCAGAGCCAAGAGAATGACAAAGCCTTCATTTGGCCCAAGTATGGATGATAATGAATGGCTGACCTTTAACTAAGACCAGTATGTACAGAAAGTGCCAATCACGGCTTCCTTATCTTGGGGCTGCTCCCCTACAGAGATCTCCTACTGAGATTAGCTAACCCATCTCCTTCTTCATGTCTTGTATAATCAATAAGCTGCCCATGCGTCTCCATTAGAGTGTGTGGCCCACCTGGTCCCAGCTTTTCTGTCTCTCTCTGTCCTTTGTTCACTTCCGATAATGGCCCAAGTCAGGTCAGTTCCGAAGCTGTTCAGATTACACAAACATCTATGCCTGGGTGTACAGAATCAGTCTACAACTATATGAAGGAAGAACCCCACTCTTTAATATGTGCGACATAAAACTTACCATATAAATATTTTTTTGATTTTTCAGCTTCATTCTATTAAGCACATTCATATTGCTAGTATCTATCTCCAGTAGTTTTTCACAGCACAACCCAAATCTGTGACATTATAACTCATCTCAGGGCCTCATAATCTACTAATTCATTATGTGTTTCTATGAATTTCATCATCTTGGGTACTGATACAATTATTGAGACAATACACTATTATTTATTTCTTTATTATTCTCTCATATCTTGTGCTTCCAATTTAATATCTTAAAATCCCAGGTTTTAAATAACTCAAATTTTAAAAATAATTTTTGTGTTATTCATTAGGGTGAGGGAGGGGGCTACAGCTGGGGTAAAAAGTGAATAAATTGTAATAAATAAAAAATAAATAAATAAAAGTCATCTTGGAGAAACAGACCAGAGGATTAGTTGGAAGGTGTGTCTTCTACATGAAAACTTTGCTATCTAAGTGATCTACTTTCTGGTGTTTTTTTTTTTTTTAAGAACTTATTTATTTATTATTTATACAGAAATTCTGCCTGTGAGCCACGTATGTTCAGTGCCTGTAGAGTACAGAAGAGGGTGTTGAGCCTTTGGAACTGGAGTTACAGATGCTTGTTAGCAGCTATGTGAATGGTGGAAATTGAACCTAAACAGAGTGAACATATAATCAAGAGTTTCCAAGCATTTCAGGACCACTAACATGTAAAAGATCAGTTGAATTAAGTCAGAAAAAAAAAAAAAACCCAAACAAAATCCAGAAAGTCATATTCTTTTTTTTTTTTTGAACATGAAATTATATCTTTAGGAGTATAAGAAATAGGTAACATTATATGAATAATTGGCTGACATATTTCAGCACAAAATTATTCAGAAAAACTAAAAATTTATCAAATAAGATGGAGGAAAGTACCTCCTATCTGAACAAGATGCTTACATATTTCTGTGAAAAAAGCAGCGGTAATAGCACAGAAACACACTGGCCTATGCTCTGTTCATTCACATTCTCTTCACCTCCTCCACCACTGGCACCCTGATAAACTGAGTGGTTATATCCATTCTAAACACAAGATTTCTCCCAAGCGGTAGGCTTGCCATAAGCATTGCAACTTCAGGCTGTGCCCTTGGATTCTTCCCACATGAGTGTCCATGCAGGCGGCAAAAAGACTCCAGCTGTCAACCAAGGAGCCACCCTGATCACCAAGGAGGAAACACTCTGAGAAGAGCTTTCAGATCTTAAAGTTACTATGGGCACAAGAACTCTAGTTGTGGTCAGTGTTGGGTACTCTGCTCAAATCACTCAAAACAGCGACAAGCAGCCAAACTTTCCCCCAGACACAGCATCATCAGTCCACCCAGCCTGTGTCCTGAGAGATCTTGTGGCCAGGAATGTCCACTTCTGACAGGACACAACTACCTGAAGCTAGCTCTGTCTTAGCCCTCCCCACATGTACTTTGCCTGTGAGCCTTGTGATAAAAGCTGCTGAAACAGTAAATTGAGAAGTGAGACAGGCAGAATATAAAAGGTGCTTGTCAGAACTCCTGATCAACCCAATGCCACAGCAAATCTTCTTAGCCCCTCCCATAGGTCCAAGTGTTGAAGGCTTGTTAGTAGGAGGTGCTTAGAGCTTATGGAGGTGTGACCCATATGGTGAATGAATTGAAAATACAGAGGAAGGGTCTTAGTACAGATGGTGTTAAACAATGACTTCTGTGCGTGATAGCTCCC